CCCCCGCGGCGGCTCTCCCCCCCCCCCCCCCCCGCCGTTGTGCCTGGGCCAGGGGAGCTGATAGGATAACCGCTCGCCGTGCGGTAAGTAGACTCGGGAAGCTCTTGCACCTCGGGGCCGGGCCGGGGGCGTCTCCCACAGCAGGTAGCGCCCTGCGTGCGGTCCCGCTGTGTGAAAGGGGGCGCTGGCAGGAGCGGCGTGAGGAGGGTTAACTCCTGGAGCGGCCCCATGCTCTGTGGAAGGGGCCAAACTACAGTGTTGTTACCTCCCCTGTTACGACCTGGCTGGGTGGTGAGGCTTGGTCCTTAGCCCATGCTGCTGGGACTCTCCAGGAGCCATGCTGTACATAGAAACAGTTGCTAGGGGAGGGCGGAGGGAGTTTTGCGGGGTTTATTCCGTTTGTTGTGAGAGCGGTGCAAAAATTGCCAAACACACACGTCTGAGTTCAATTTTGCTGGTGTTTCTTGGTGACACTTACGCTGACAGGCATTGTACCTATGCTGCTTAAGGAGAGGAATGCGGCCCTTTGTCTTTAATCAATAAAGGGTAAAACTAAGAAAAGTCCAATTGTAAAAACAAAACCTGGTTGCATAAATACATGTGCATTAGAATGAATTTTGACTATTCAAGCTGTATGCATCCCTCTGTGTAGAAGAAGAGTAAACACTATTATTATTTTTATTATTATTATCTCATGTTATTGGCCTGCTGGGGCCAGGGACAAGATGCTGGGGTGGGTGGCAGGTGCTGGGGCCAGTGCCAGGGTGCTGCTGGGCACTGGGGTAGGTGGCAAGGTCCTGGGGCCGGAGCCAGGGTCCTGGGGTGGGTGGCAGGGTGCTGCTGGGTGCAGGGGACAGTGTTGGTGAGGGAAGTGGTCAGGGTACTCCTGGAGGGAGGTCTGGGCAGGGGACAGGGGCAGCTGGGACCAGTACCTGGCAATCTTGCAACTCTGGGTTCCGGAAGTGTGCAACTGCACTTCCCTTCCCCAAACAGCTGGCATGCGTGCTGCCTGAACAGCAGGGGCTGTTTCACCCCAGCAACTTACTTCTGCGATGCCGTCCTGCGGTGGGGAGAGTGCAGGGAGTCCCAAGGCAGAGCGTGCTGCCTGCACAGTCGGAGCTGCGCAGCCCCTGGTCTCCTGACCTCCCTCCCCCCCACCATGCAGAAAGGCCACGGAACTAAGTTGCTGGGTGCTGCTGTTCAGGCCCACCACGCAGAAAGGACACAGAACTAAAGTTGCCAGGTGCCACAGCCACAGCTGTTCAGGCAGTGCATGCCGGCTCCTTTGGAGAAGGGAAGTGCTTCCCTCCCTGCTGTGGGTCACGTGGGGCCACCCCTGTCTGGCACCCCCCTAGTGTGCCGGTCGGGATCAACTGTTCCCCTCAGCCCCCACCTTGTTACGCCTCTGTGTCACCAGGGAGGAACGGGAAACAAGTGTGCTGTTTCTTTAAGAAGTTGGCTAGCCGGCTCTCTCTCTTTCAGAGGGGGCGAGGGAGTGCTGGCTCCTCGCGGAACCCCTACTTTTGCTCCGCACCCCAGGGTTCTGCAGAGCATCAATTGGGAAACACTGGTCTAGACCATCCCTGATAGATGTCATCTCACCTGCTTTTAAATATCTCCAGAGATGGAGATTCCACAACCTCCCTAGGCAATTTATTTCAGTGTTTAACCACCGTGACGGGAAGTTTTTCCTAATGTCCAGCCTAACTCTCCCTTGCTTCAATTTAAGCCCATTGCTTCTTGGCCTATCCTCAGAGGCCAAGGAGAACAATTTTTCCTCCCTCCTGCTTGTGACACCCTTTTAGATACCTGGAAACTGCTATTATGCCCCCTTTCAGTCTTCTCCTTTCCAAACAAAACAAGCCCAATTCTTTCAGTCCTCCTTCATAGGTCATGTTCTCTAGACCTTTAACCATTCTAGTTTCTCTTCTCTGGACCTTCTCCAATTTCTCTACATCTTTCTTGAAATGTGGTGCCAAGAACTGGACATGATACTCCAATCGAGGCTTGATCAGTGCAGTCGAACGGAAGAATGACTTCTCATGTCTTGCTCACAACATTCCTGTTAATGCATCCCAGAATCATATTTGCTTTTTTTGCAACAGCGTCACACTGTTGACTTGTATTTAGCTTGTGGCCCACTATGACTCCTAGATCCCTTTCTGCAGTACTCCTTAGATTGATGAGGAGTATCAGGAAACCTTGACACAACATCGGTCAGCATGATAGGTGGTAGTATTAGTACACAGTGCCTAACCTTTGTCAAGAGTTTTGAAAGCATCACGGCAAAGGGGAGGTTGAAGATAGGATTTTGAGGAAGATAAGAGCTAGTGAAGGAAGTATGAAATGCCTTTTTTGTATAATATGTGCTTAGTTTGGTGAGTCTTAATCTGCCACTGGGAATTTCCAAATTTTATAATTTAAGTATTTCCTATTAAAATAGCATGCCATCTGAATTTTTTAAAAATATCACAAGAAATATATATCTGAATTACAGCAATATAGATTCAAATTAACAGCATCTGTAGATGTTTTTCAGCAGCAACTCCACTTAAAAATGTGAGGTGATCCCACATAAGCTCCTCAGAGTTATCCTCACGTAAGTCCATGGAAGGTAAATTAATTGCATCAACTTGTTAGTTGTTCTAAGATGATTTTTCCTCAGTGCTTTTCTTTATGAGGGACCGAATAAAATAGCAATATTCATTTAAAAGACATATTACCCTGCATGAGAGGAACAGAAGCCAAAAGGTTTTGCAAAGGTGAAACTTGAATATTTAATATATGATATTTCTAATTTTTGCTTGCATTGTTATAATTGTTGATTATTTCTGTAATGCTATCTGTGTGTGTAGCACTTTGTGGTTACAATAGAAGAGACTAGTTTTGCTCAAAAGAGTTTACAATCTTGGATCTCAGTCCTGCAAGCTGAGATCCTTATGTCCACTCAGACCCCCAGTGAAGTTAGTGGGACTCTCAACAGGTGGAACAGTTTGCAAGACAAGGACTTCAAGATGGCAACTTATTCATCATGTTAGCGGGACTATGCATCTATGTAAGGATTAGATATGAATTAGCAGCAAGGCTATTTCCTAACATTGGAATTGCATCAAAGTGTATCTGAGTACCACTTCAGGTATCAGAATAATTAGGCTGATTCTTTAAATATTTTAGAAATGAGTGACCAGCCAGTTTCATCTTTGTGGGACCAGGGAACAACAAAAACATATCAAATTCCTATTAATCATTTTGATTACAAGTTCATTGAAAAGTGCTCAGATGTTAAACACCTGGAAAAAATTCTCAGGATATTGAGGTAAACATTTAAAATTCTATCTTCATTAATATTTATATTACTGCTTTTTTGCTTTGTTTTTAGCTAATAGTTTATCTGTTGGTAAGATTGAAGGGATTGGGCTCAGTACTTGACTTATCTTAAAAGTGTTGGTGTCTTAACATAAGTTAAATCTCTAAATTAAAATTAATGAGTCATTAATGCTTGTGAAAGGTTCATTATTTGACAACCTTGGAAATAGAAATTCTATGTTAAATCTTCAGAAAGGGTACAGCTTGAGTAGCAGAAAAGTCTTCTGATTCTACCACTATTGTACCTTATTTGTGGCAAGGAAGGACCTGTGAAGAGGTGTGATTATTTCAGAAAGCGTGCTGATTTAATTCTTGCAATTTTTGGTGAGAGTGACAACAATAGTTATATATGCGTGGTTTATGTAGCCATGTGTGTCCACTAAAAATATTTGCAGTTAATACTAATTGCAATGGTTTTTGTAATGTGAACATTTGCTCATTAGACACTGGACCAAGGCTGCCAGCTCATTTTACAGTTGTCATCAAACTATTGTAAAATGGTAATAACAATTTTCAATCACTAGGGGTGTGTCTAGACTATAGGGTTTTGTCGACAAAAGTGGACTTTTGTCACCAAAACTACCTGTGTCTACACTACCGCCAAGTTCTGTCGACAGTAAGTCAACAGAGCATGGCAGTTTTGTCAACGGCGGTAAACCTCATTCTACGAGGAATAACGCCTTTTGTTGACAGAGTTCTGTCAACAAAAGGCGCTATTACATCCACACTGCTTTTTAAAAAGAGAGCGTCTAGACTCTCTGTCAAAAAAGCGGCTTGCTTTGTCAATAGAACGGGCTGTAGTCTAGACGCTCTTTGTCGACAGAGGCTTTGTTGACAGTATCTGTCGACAAAAGCCTATAGTCTAGACGTACCCTAGGAAGTAAAAGAGACCACAATAGTGACTACTCTATCTCATATATAAAATTAGAGGAGAATGCAATATTGTTTATTGGTTTTTCGTCACCTTTAAATTGTCTTGTTTACCTTTTAAGATCTGGTGAGGAAGGATATTACCCTGATCTTACATTATTCTGTGAAAAACGCATTGAATGTTTAGCTCCGGGGAGTAGAGCCCTGCGAAAAGATAAACCTCCAGCCTCTGTGTCTGATTTTACAGCTGAAGAATGGGAAAAAATTAATGATGAAATGAAGGTAAAGTATATATGGTATGGCGATGTAAATATATATTAAAGTTATTAATTAATTAGTGCTCTGATTTTTTTGAGTAAACCTAATTAGAATTTGATGTCACTGTTGTTCTGAGACTGGTTACATATCAATTAATGCAGCAATTTACAGTTGCTAATAGTTCATTTGCCCTTGCACAGTAAAACCTGTTTAACTAAGTTAGAAAATATTGATTAGAACACCCTTAATTTTTATTTTTATTTGAATAGGACCCCTGAATCTTTAATTTCTATCAGAACAGCCACAACAAATGATGACACATTTATATATCATCTTTGATTTGAAGAGTCAGAAAGCATTTACAAGCTACATGGAGGGAAACATCCCACTATCAAGTGAAAAAAAATGTAGTTTCTGATTGTGTTGTGGCACAGCAGCACGGCATCACATTTTAGGACAGGAACTGAAGAATTCCATATGTAGCTAGGTAGAAGAGCCTTTAGATTGAATACTTCATTGTAAGGACAACAGTTCTTACACAGTAGTGTGACACCTCCGAAGTCAAAACTGGATGCAAGTCTAAGTCATAATGTGAAATATGAATGTGATTTTTCTGGCCTGGAATTAAGTTTGCCACTTACTGAGTCATACTGGGGTTCAGCCTAAGATGTATCAAATGCTTTTAGAATGTTTTGAGTTTCATATTGTGACCCCTTTGAGGTCTTCTCTTTTTGGTTAGAGATTTTACAACATTTTGAGATTTAACATGGTGAGAAATCGCTTGGAAAGCGATTCCTTACAATAGTATGTATGGGTAGATGTTTTGTGATACTATTGGATTTTTTTGGTGACAAGTCATATGCATATTAGTCTGTATCCTAATCACATTTACATGGTTTCTGGTTTTGTTTAATTATTACTATTTTCCCCAAAGATGATTCTCTTAGCTCTTGTAAACAATATATTTTTAAAAAAAACCTGTTCCTGCTACTACTCTCCAAAAGCACGGCTTATGATGACTATCACACCAACAGAGAAGTGCTAGACCTGAAATCCATCCAAGTCATTCCTTGATTTGGGTATATACAGGGCAGTATATTAGACCATTGAGAGGTCTGCATTCACTGTTTTGAAGTATAGTGATATTGTCTGTTTCTTTTCAGAGCTGGGTAACAGAAATGAAGGAAGAAGATTATAAAATACAATTTCCTATAACAGAAACACTTCATGAGAGACTAGACAATTTGCCAGCAATTCGTGGTTCAAATAGCTGCCTTCATGATGGCCAGGTATCTCTTTTCTTAAAAATGTGTAACAAATTCATTTTAAATTGTTATTTCTATGATATAGGTGTACCTTTAAACATAAGTAGTGTGTTAATTTGAGCCTTTCTTGACTATTTGTTGTAATCAACTGTATAATGATGAGCTTAGTATATGCTCCCTAGAAAGACTAGGCATGGTTTCTGGTTTTGGTGGGGAGACGGCCTAATGGAGCTCAGGCTAGCTTTGTATGCTGAGGTCCAAAGAGAGCACCATTGCCATCCCCTGACTCGCCTTGGCAGGCCACCCAGCCTGTCTGGGTCTCAGGGACCCAAAAATTATAATTGAAAGCAGAAGAGTCAGCTCAAAAAGTCTGAAAACTGCTCAGGAGGCAATGAGAGGGTTGCTAGGGGCTGTGTACTAGGAGGAGTGTAGCTCAAGATACAGGGAGGGGTATTGCTAGGGGCTGTACCTCCATTATCCACTGGGGAGCCCTAGGTGGTGTGGTGGGACCTAAAGATGGAACAGGGCCAAATGGATGGCAGAAATGAGCTCACCCATCCCCAGTGGTGCCTGAAGCTTGCACTTTGGGGAGCCAGTACCCTCTCCTGCCTCCCTTAACAGTTCTTGAAAGGTAAGTTGTTACAGGGCCCCCCATGCTTTATGAAAATTGTCTTATGAATATGCATAACTTGAAGAAGCTTTATGCAAAACAGATCATATAACACATCATTTTTAAAGTTACAGTCTGCTGAATCTGTATATCCTATTTTTGTGCAGGTAGCATTTTTTATGTGAAGTTAGAAATATGAAACATTCATTTGTGTTTAATTCTGTATGTGCTAATGAGGGCTATTAGTAATAATTTGGGAATTTAACAGCTCATACTTAAACCAAAGGCCCATGAATGGTTTTATTTTTACTGTAAGCCCAAACTGATCCTAGAAAGATATGTGATCATACCACCTGGTAGTGGAATCCATCTTGAGTCTGATACTTTCCCATGGGAATGGGAAGACTGACCAAAGGGTTCCCGTTCTGGGGGAAAGTCTGATTAAGGAATGGAAAGCAATCAGGTCTTTGTCTTCGGCTGGCTTTTGGAATTGCCTCCCTACCCTAAGAGGATACACATGAAGAAACCTGGAAACAAAAACAAAAAACTATAGCGAAAGAGTGAAGGCAAAGCTGTATGGCCCAGGTAAAAAAAGATCAATTCTGACCTGAGATAAGAACAATTGTTTAGGGCAAGACTTTCCATGTAACAAGTGTCTTAGTATATTAGAATTAGCTGGTGTGTTTTGTTTATTTTAGCTTAGTAATTTACTTTGATCTGCTTGTTTTCATGTACAATCACTTAAATCCTATTTTTTATACTTAATAAAAACACGATTGTTTATTATCAAGCCCAGTGTAAGTAATTCTTATTTGGGAGGAGCAATCACTGTGCATATTTCTCTTTCATTGATAAAGGGGCTGAACATCTTCATGAACTTTCTCTGTATAAAACTTACACAGAGTAAGATGGATTTATTTGGGGTTTAGTACCCTTTTGGGAGTTGATTTCCTGGGTGTTGTCAAAGATCTTATAGTTGAGTCCTACCAGAGCTGATGGGGTTCAGTGTTTGAGTTGCTCTGCAGGGGAGCAGTAACCCCAACTCTCTGCCTTGGCTGGAGGAGACCAGAGATTTTGGCCCAGGAGTTAGTGTGGAGACATAGAGGTCAGGAAGGCTGGCATTAGTGCTTGATTAGCACTAGGGATGTAAAAGCCCATTTAATTGGCTAACCACATAAACATAGTTTAACTGGTTAACTGATTGGCGGAGGGACTGCTACAGCCCAGTCAAATCAGCTCCTTCCTGCACCCTCCCTTCCTCCGCTGCTTATAGGGGCTGCTCTGGGCAGGATGCCCCAGGGGATTTTTGTGATCTAACCTGTCACATAAATGACCAAAATTAAACCAAAACTACCTATTGAATACAGTACTCCACCTATATATTTTATACTCTGAGTTATTTCCAGTGCTTTTTAAGAAACAGCTATCTTCCTGATATAATAGTATATATAATAGTAAGATTATAATAGTAAGATTTACTTAACAGATCCTCACAACAGGTTCACAAGTACTTTTTCCTTACAAAGTTTATTAAAAGGAAACTTTCTTGGAAACAAATCAATTTTTAGTAGTGATGTAAAATTCCATTTAATTAGTTAACTGGTCAAACTTAATGTTTAACCAGTTAACTGATTAAACGGGAGCAAGCAATGGGGCTGCTCCAGTCCTGCTGCTTCTGACCACACACTGGGCTGTTGGTTCCCTGGCCATGTGGGCTGGGAGTTGTACTGGGGTGTGGGAACTGGCTCCCAGCTCGCACAGGTTTGAGGGGTGGGAGTTGGCAGCCTCGCACGGGGATAGAAGTGGCAGGCAGGAGGGTGGGGGTAGGCTGCAGGCAGGAGGTTACTCCTGGGTAATGATTAACTATTCACATCTCTAATTTTGAAGCCACTTTAGTAGGGAAGACTTTTCAGGTTGAAGATGGAATTTCTGATCAAAACTTGAGACACAGACTGAGATGAAACTGATTAGCCTTCACCCCAGAGTAGTCCTGTGACTAGGGTACAGACCTGCGATATAGGAAATCTATGTTTAATTAAGTCTGTGCTCTGCTTGTTTCAGGGCAGGTACTTAAGTTTGTTAGCTATTTGTCTGTTGTGGTGTGGGTCTCTGGACTTGATGACCTCTTGAGGTTCCTTCCAGTTTTATGATTCTCTCTATATTTTGTTGTGGGAAACTTTGAAAGGTCTCAGATTTGTTCTAATGCAGAAAGGGAAAATTCCTAAAATTTCAAAAAATGTTATGGGAAAGAAATCTATTTCTTGTGCATTTCAAGCAGGATATATATAGGAGGGTGATTTTGAATAGTTTTACCTATGTATAGTGCAATTACCAGAAGAAAGTTATAGGAGGTCAGGTTTTGAGGTATCAGAGCTGAGGTGTCCTTGATATTGTGGTTCTATTGAGGCAGCAATTGTGGATGTGGATGTTAGGTTCCCAAGAGCACGGGAGTCTTTCTATTGAGGGCTCTTACCCTTTTGTGGAATGAACCCAAAAGTTAAGCCCTGTTTCCATCTTCACATGCTGAAACAATATGAGGATAACTGTGTAAGTGAAATCTCACTAAGCTTCCTTACTTTGGGTTTCGCCCTGTGATTTGTCCTTTTGTTTTAAATGTAGGACTTTCAGGTTGAAAAAAACCCTGCTAATTGATATGAGTGAGTATGTAGTGTTGTAAACATACATATGAAGCACCTAATAGATTTTCCTTAAAAGTCAAAACTAGGAAAGACTTGAAAACTAGTGAATTTTTGAAAATAGCTACAGGCTGGAGACCAGTCATGAATACTGTTGACCCCAGATACTAACTAGGGCTGTGGTTCTCAGCTGGTGGTCCATGGACCACTTGTGGTTCATGGTGACTTTTTCTGTGGTCCACAGGAACATTGTCCAAAGTCACATGGTGTGAGCAGGTGCTGCCATTAGGCTGTTTTACGTCGTGTTCACAAGCATGCGGCGCATCATCCATAGCCATCACCTAGGATGCAACTGCGTGGTGTAACTTCCGTCTGAGGCTCTGAGCGTCAGTGTAGCTGCTGCCGTCATGCTGAGCGGTTGCTGTGTCGTTCGTCTTGTGCTGCATGTGCTGGAGGTGGTCCATGAACTGAAACCAGTTGAGAACCACTGATCTAGGGGAACAAAAAGAGAAGCTAACAATCAAGTAATTTGGTAAATAATGAATTCTCAGCCTCTTTCTTTTCTTTTTAGAACAAAGAATATAAACAAAGAAAGAAGAAAAATATACCACGAGATTACAGGGAATGGGACAAGTATGTTAAATCATTCTTTTAATTTTGTATTGAAATTTGTAACTTTATTTTTATAGTAGAATACTACTAGGTAATATGGACCAATTAATTTTGATTTAAAAAAAAACATGTTTCACCTAAAATTAATATTTCATGAAATTATAAAAATACAGGTGAGACTTGTTTTTTATTCTAGAAGACTTACCCAGTGTTGCCCCAGTCCTTCAGGGCAGGGGGCTGGTGGTGTGAGGACTGCAGGAGTAAGGGTGGGGGTTGAGGAGCAGCTTAGGACAGGGGGCTCGGGATGTGGGGAGTGCAGGAGTCAGGATTGGGAGATGATGAGGAGCTCAAGTCAGGGGGTGAGGAGGAGGGAGAGCTCAGGGCAGGGGGTGAAGATGACTGTTGGTTTCTCCCTGGGGAATGCCCAGGGTGTGAGGGAGGGGTCTGTGAACTCTGCCCACTGGCTTCTCCCTGGGGACCAGAGGAGGACTGGGAAACATAGGCCAGCACTCCCAGGAACTGGTCCAAATGGTGGGGAAGGGAGTTGCCCAGGCTGGGTTGAGGGCAGGCTATGGCTCCTCAACGAGTGGGAGCTGGGGCTTTGCTGCCTGGTTCTGGTGGCGCTTTGGCTTGGGTGCAGCAGTGGGGCCGGTAGGGCTTTCCCCCCTTCCACTGTCCGGCACTGCAGCCAAAGGCCAGGGGAATGGGTTTGGGGTAGGAGGACCACTTATTTACCTGGGCTGCTGGCTGGCAAGATGGTGAGCCCCAGCCGGTCACTCTCTTCCTCATGCAGCTGTCTCCTGTGGTCTCTCTACGGTATAGCTGTTCCCCACACTCGCTGCCCCAATGGCTATACTGCAGTATAGCTGTCCCTTCGATCATCCCCCTCCCTTTCCATGTTATAGAAAATACAGGCAGTCCCCGACTTACGTGGATCCGACTTACGTGGGATCCCTAGATACGAACGGGGTGAGGCAACTCCCGCACATGCGCAGCAGAATTCCCGGGGCTCGCTCACCTGGGTCCTAGGATCCTCCTCCTCCTCGGGCCGGCTCCGACTGGGATCCCGCAGAGCTGCCGGGCAGAGGAAAAGTGCCTCCCCACGCCCGCTGCCCCCCCCCCCACGGCCTCGCATCCTGCACGCCTCCTCCCTCCCCCGCTGCCAGCAACAGGCTGCCCCCTCCCCTGAGCAACAGGCTGCGGAACAGCAGACAAAAGCAGTCTCTCCGCCCCTCCTCCCCCTATACATGCTGGGCTCCCTGGGCAAACAAAGACTCCACCAAAACAAACAAAGTGCTGGCCTCATTGTGTTAGCAAAAAAAGGACCCTCCTCCTAGAACCCTGGGTGGTGTGTGGAAATAAAGCTATTAGCTCAAAGCATGGTGCAGAGCTGTTTGGTATTTGATGAGTTACTCCTTTAGTCCTGAGTTTGTCACAGGGACAGAAATAGATGTGAAATCTTCTGAACAGGGGAACAGACAGCAAAACAAACATTAGAGGGGAGTTAACCTTTCCCTATGCTATCCAAAACTAAAAAAAAATGTTTGGCTAGAGTTTCCCCTACAATATGTACCAGTTCCGACTTACATACAAATTCAACTTAAGAACAAACCTACAGTCCCTATCTTGTACATACCCCGGGGACTGCCTGTATAGTACAAGTGACAATCAACATGCTTTGTCTTACAATCAGGCCATTTTATAATTGAAAACTACGCTAGAGTAAGGCCCCCAGCAGACCAGGGAGATGCGGAGCAGCTTTTCTCAGCAGACACCTCAGTTTGAGAATAATACCCTGAGGGAAGTGAGGTGTGGGAGAATAAAACTGAGCTCTGGAGAAATGTTTGGCTAGAGTTTCCCCTACAATATGTACCAGTTCCGACTTACATACAAATTCAACTTAAGAACAAACCTACAGTCCCTATCTTGTACGTAACCCGGGGACTGCCTGTAATCAAATTCCAGGCACATCCCATTTTCCTGGCATAAACAAACCCTGACCTTGCTGTAAGTTAGAAGCTGCATACCAATAGAATATGTAAACAGACAACATAAATAATAAATGCAATGAAAGCTTTACCATCTGGCCCTCATGTGAAGGAGGTTGCTTGTTAATCAAATGTCCCAGATAACAAAGCTTATTGCTCTGCCTCCATCTCCTACTATCAAATCTGGCTCCCAGCAGGTCAAGGCAGGCTGAGGGGGAAGGAGGCACATGCTGATGATGTCAGCCAGCAGTGCTGGCTGTCAGAAGCTCCGCAACAGCTGGCTGGGCAGGCAGGAGACATGTGTGTGCCGAAGATGCAGTGGTTTTATGACTGGGGCCAGGGCTCTTTTCCGGTTAACAGAGTGCCGGATAACAAAACTTTCATTGTAATTTAATTGTTTAAATTCATTTTTAAACATCTTAAGACTTTAAAGTCTAATGAGACAGTAATAGAACAAGGAAGGACATTTAAAATGTGATTTTTTTTTTTTTACCCTAACTTTAAAAACCAAACAGTATTCATTTTATGTTCCTAAATTGGGGTGTGTGTGTGTGTGTGTGTGTGTGTGTATGCATGCTTTTGGTGCTTCGTGGATTCCTGCTCCTGTGCAGAGCTCCATTAACTTCGTGGGCGTGGGCTTGGTGCAGGCACAACAGTTTGTCCTCACACAATCAGAGGTCTTTATAGGTATGGTTAAGATTTTGTCATAGATATTTTTAATAAAAGTTAGGGACAAGTCACAAGAAAAATAGAAAAACTAATGGAAGTCAAAACCTGTCCCTAAATTTTACTAAAAAATCCCTGTCAAAATGGGGATCTGCTTTACACGGGACAGCTGTAGGGATGAGAAGCTGCTTGTGGTAGCTGGAGAGGCTACCCCTACGGCCTGCAGCTCAGGGTGTCCCCTGCTGCCTATGGGAGGTGGAAGCTTGGAGGTTCCCTGCAACTCGTATGTGGACAGAAGCTTTGGGTTTATTCACAGCAGCCCAGAGCTGTCTGCCATCCTCAATGACCTGCAGTATCTAGAAGCTCAGGGTTCCACTGCCAATCTTGGCAGCAGGGAGCTCAGAGGTTTCTCACTGCCACCCTCCAGGAACTGGGGGTTTCTCACTGCTGTCAGTGGCAGAGAGGTCAGAGATCCCCTGCTGCTCCACTCATAGTGGTAGGGAGCTGTGGAGATAACCTTGCCGGCGGTGGCAACTTGGAGCAGCAGGGGTACCCCACAGCTTCTTGTCTAGTGAGTAGCAAGGGACCCTGCAGCTCCTGACCACCACAGGCTGAAGTCATGGAGACCATGGAAGTCACAATTCTGTGACTCCGCAATCTCCATGACTAAATCACAACCTTACTTATAGGTATTTTGCTATTGTATAAGTTTCTGATGTTATAAAATGTATTTAAGTGCATAAATATTTACAAAAACAGAGCATAGATTTTTACACGTTCTAGAAAAATATGTTGCCAGAATAATTTTGACAGAAATTTACTTTTTTTGTCATGGGCCCTCTAATCAGTGGCATTTGTGCAGACTGATTTAATAATCAATTTAATTTTCAAATAACCTGTCCCAGGTTACAAGTGCAAAAGAATAAATGGAGTAAGTATTTTTGTTTTTCTTTGTTGACCAACACACTAGAAAGCTGTTCTTACCTTTACTTCTGTGAAAAAAAAAGATGTATTATAATACTTCAGTGTTATATCTCTTATAATTTTTGCAGTTTTACTTATCTGTTCTGCCTTCAGAAAATAATTAAAACTATAGCTGGTTGAACATTTTTCAACAATACTTTTTTTGGTCAGAAAAATCTGTAGAAACTGAAAGTGTTCATGCGAAAGAATTTCTGATGCATTTCCCATTATGAAAACATTTGGAAAATAATAAACTCTAATAGTCAAAATCTTATTTTAACATGTTTTAAATTTCAAAAGTTCCATTTTCCAGGTTGAAATTTAAGTAAATTTAAGGTAAACTTTTTGTATAAGGTCAAAGTCAAAATGGAACATTTGATTGACCTGATATCATTTTTTTTATTTTTGGTACAAAAATTTGCAAAACTGATCTTTTTATCATGATTTGGGACAGGAATAATTTTTTTAAATCTTGAAAATTTTTGCTAGATGCTGAGATTGTTTCATGCTCAGCTTTAATTAGGTCTTTATTGTTTACAAGTAGTGGATCACTTGGTTCAGAATACATTTCTTTTGATGGATTGTGTTACAACTGTAACATTTACTTGCAATTAATTAGTGAAAGGTCTTTAGAAAAAACACCTTGATAGCAGCTGTGAAGTGGTGGCTAAAATACTGTTTTCCCTTTGGTCTTCCATTTGCAATATTTAATCACTTTCAGACTGTTCTTGAGAAGTGCAGAGTACCTGCAACCCCAGTTGTCTTCAGTGAGAATTATAAATGCTCATTAACTGTTAGGTTCAGCCCTTTAAAACAGTCTATTGAATTTTGCCTGATTCTTAGAATGCCACACTGACTTTGAAGAGTATTTTGGAGTGGACAGCATGAAAGAGGAACACACACACAAAGGAAATATAAATTGTTTTTAAAATTGTGTGTTTCTGCTGAATAATTTTTGATTGTTGAACAGACTGACAAAGTCTTTGTACACGATTTAGTTTATATCTGAACTGACATATATCGTTACGTGCATTTTATTGTGTGCATATGTAATATAGGTTTATATTTTTTTCTTTAAGGTTTGATGTGGAAAAGGAGTGTTCAAAAGTTGATGAGGGCAATGAAGAAAATAATTCAAAAACATGTTGCAATATTAGTTCAGATTTACCTGTAGTTGAAAAGGAAATAGACACAGCAGGTAAAATGTGACTTAATATCAAAATTGTCTTTTCTTTTATTAGATACCGAATTAACATTGCTCAGGAGAATGTTCATACAAACTGAAGAAATATTATAGAGGGAAAATGTGCTTTTGTTATATACTGTATCTCTTCCTTGGTTTTTTTCCCCAGCCATCACAGAAAATAAAAGTAAAACATATCCTAAGTCATCCCAGAAAAGGTTCATTTTGCAGAAAATGTAATATGCCTTCTAATAATGCATATAGAAAAATGTTTGCTTTAAATATAAGCTTATTAAATTGGAGTTGGGGATGCTGACGAAAAGTATAATTTCAGGACTGATTTCCCCTTGCCAACCCAGGGAGTATCTGGCAGGTGATCTGTGTGACACCTCCTCCTCACCCACCTCAGGATGGCCGCACGGAGAAGCCAGAAGGTGGGCTGCACAGTCCCCCCTGCTTCTCACAGGGAGAAGCTGGTGGGCAGACAGCAGGCTCCCACCACTCTGGGCTAATCCTGGGGAGAAGCTGGCAGGCGGGCTGTGTGGTCCCTGATGTCCTGAGCCATTCACAGCCCATGCCTGGTAGGCTTCTAGTAATGTGTGTGTATCTATAGAGAGAGAATTTCTTGTTGGATGTCCAGATACTCACTTCACTTATTTATTTAATCTATAGTATAGGCAACTTGTTGGTATGGAGGGATGGCAAGGATCTGAAGTCCTATTCCAAATGCTGCCAAGAGGCACAGATTTTTCAAGTATTACCTTTCTAAAGCACACCCAGTTTTCACTGCCCTTGGATTCTGTTGATCCTAGAAAATTTCAGTGCAAATTTTCCACTGAGAAGAGTTGGGAAAAATCTCGTCTTTGTTGATGAATACAAAATAGCAACATAAAATCTTTTATTCCGAAATATAAGAGTTCTGACAGTTTCCTTCTTTTTTATTTCGGGAGTTTCCAAAAAAATTTTATAATATGGATCATGTTTTAATAGAAAGATTGTCTTTTAGTCCAGTCCTTTTATGACTTCTGAAACCAATTTGTACAATATAATTAAATAAAAATACTTGTATGTTAAAATGTTATATTTTGCTTCTGTTAATAGTTAGCTATTTTTATATCTAAAGATTATGTTCTAGGTATGACTAAGAAAGAAAAAAAATTTATTGCTAATCGTGAAAAAGAAAAAGGTAATGAAGCTTTTGCCACTGGGGATTATAAAGAAGCAGTGACATATTACACTCGGTGAGTTAATGCAATTTGAACCATTCTTTAATTAATGGTTGTTAATATTATGTATATATCAATATAGCTCAGGATCTTTCTTGTTGAAGGAACAAATGGGCAACTTACAAAAATGGCAAAAAATTTCTCATTGAGCTATGTCAAAATTCTGCATATTGATTAATGAATGTATAAGCGACCAGGAAAAATGAGTGAAAGGTGAGGTAACAATATCTGCAGATGACACACAACTGTTTAGGTTATTCAATACTAGAGGAGACTCCTGAGGCACTAGTGTTCCAATAACTTTTTCCTCCGCTGAGCAGAATGAATTTTATTATGCGGAGGTGATGTGCAACACAGGACACACAATTGCAGGAAGACAAAAGATAGTCTTGTGATTAAGGCAATTGAATGTTACTCTGAGAATTAGATTCTGTCCTTGCCTCTGCCACAGAGTTTGTGTATGAGTCTGGGCAAGTCAATAACCAAAATTTTCACAGGTGGACACAATCTAGGTCTCAACAAAGATGCTAATTATCTTACCCATTACAAAGATAGCTTCCCCAATTATCATCTCTAATATCATTAGCTCACAGACATTTACCTCCCTCCCTCATCCCCCCTCTGTTCTGAAATTTGATTTGTCCTTTTCATATGTGTTCACTTTTTTTGATTGTATCCCTTTGGTATATATGGTCATGCCAATTTTCTTCCACAATTTGATCTGAGGTAGTGGGTCTGGCCCACGAAAGCTCATCACCTAATAAACCATCTTGTTAGTCTTTAAAGTGCTACATAGTCCTGTTTTTTGTTTGAATTTTCATGTGCACAACCCCAGTTTGAGTGGAGAAAAAAGGAGGACTCTCAGAATTTATAACAGAAAAAGAAGGGAGAGTTAATACCTGTCAGTTGTAGTGCTGGTGCTAATGAAGCTAACTGAATGGGCTGGAAGTGTCCCATACTTAGCTTTTGACGTCAATGGGAAGTTCAAATGTAAGGAAGGCTTGTTTTTATAATGGGCCATCCAGTCAATGTCTTTGTTCGGGCATAGGGAAACTGTCAGATTTGCATATTAAGGTCAATTCTGCACTCTCACTCTCACTCTCACTCCCCCCCCCCCCCCCCCCCTCCCCCCCACATTTGGCTTGTGAAATTCCTTTGTAGAAGAATGGCTGCTTTTAAATTCATGATTGAGTGCCCAGGGAGGTTAATTAAAGAGGGTATCATAATGCGTGCACAGAAGAGGAAGCACAGGCAAACTTAATTCTGATGTTATATCTTTTGAGTGCTTCTGTTTGCAATCTTAAATGTTTAATGTATTTTTTGGGTAACATATGGATATCAAGAACATTCACGGTAGCATTAGATAAGATGTTTTTTTTAAAGAAACATAAACACTCATTCTTGAGGGCCTGAGCCAACTGCTAATTTGTAGGAACAAGAAGAAACTTCCCCAGTGAACAAGTTATTCCATATTTGAGCATAATGTTTTGTTTATTTTTTATTTTTTTTCCACCTTCATCTCAAACATTTGCCATTGTCCACTGTCGGAGACAGGATAATATGCTAAATGGAATTCTGGTGTGACCTAGTATGGCAATTTTTATTTACTTAAGTTTCTAAAATTTCTAAAATTTGACTAAAATATGTTTGAGTGGATTGAGAGTAATTTTAAATGGCTACAGTCCTATCTAGTGCACAGCTATATAGAAAAGATCATTACAACCTGATTAGTTTATACTGCACTTCAACTTTTTTTATCCTGTATACCATCTACCCAGCTGTACCACCTCAAATGGAAAAAAATAGATTTTTATTTTAATTGGCATAATTTACAAGAAAGATTTAATAAAAGACTAGAAGCCTCAAAGTTCTCTAAATTGTTTTAAGTGCTGCAACATTTCTGCACAAAGCATGCTTTGGTGCAGTTCTATGTTGTCATGATTTTAAATAAATTGATAAATTGAAATTGCTTTGCTTCATTATTTTAACTTTATTATAACTCTTTATAATTTAAAACTGATTTTGATGACTTCATTAAAGAGTTTATATAATCTTATTTTCTTTCTAGCATACAGCTTACTTTGTCTTGTCCTTTGCAGGAGCATATCAGTATTGCCCACTGTGGCAGCATATAACAACAGAGCTCAAGCAGAAATCAAACTTCAGAACTGGCACAATGCTTTTCAGGATTGTGAAAAAGTGTTAGATATGGAGCCTGACAACCTAAAAGGTGAAAGTAAACTGGCATTTCTCAGAATTTTATTTCTAGTAAAAAGTCTTTTTTGGAGTTTGAAACACAGGCCTGATTTTTTTAGCATTCATTGAAATCAATGGGAGAACGTTGACTTCAGTTGTCAGATCTCAAATGTGTGAGGAAAATGGTCCAGACTAACTCTTCCTATGCTAGTTTAAATGGCGGTTTGGAGATTTGTGCTGGTTAGTGCTGCCTATCCTTGATCAAGATTCTTGTGCTGAAGTGACGGTAGGATAGTGGTGTGCGGTCACATCATGCTCTCAAAATGATGACTGTTATTCACATCAAGTGGAGATGTCTCCCAATCATCACAGAAAAGAACTCTTAACAATCTTTAAGATGCCTTGAAACAGCAGTGAAAGGTGCTTGGTGCATGTTTTCTTACTAAGTTAAGTAAGTGAAAACAGTTAACTAAACTTATAAGGGGAGAGAGGGACAGGTAGAAAAATTAAGAGGAATGACAGTTCATGTATCACCATATATATATGTAGGGTACATTATATGAAATTACATTATCAGAATTTAAAAAAAAAATCCGTAACTTCGATACATAGCTATTATGAAATGGATGCAAGGCTTTAAAACAATTTAGCCTTACATTTCACATTGTACTTTCTCTAAATGTGAATTAATTGTAGTCTGCAGAATAATTTACAAGAATACATTCTAAACAGTGTGTTCTTTGTTTTTTATAGCTCTTATGCGCCGTGCCACTGTACACAAGTATCTAGGGAATTACCAGGCAGCTATAGAGGATTTGACCAAAGTATTACATGTTGAACCAGAAAATGCCATAGCTAAGGTAAAGACAATGACTCTGTATTTGTAGAACAAAGATGTGTTTATAGAACAAGATGCATGTTGCTTGTGTTATATGTGTTTGATGCAAGATAAAGTTGATATACTACAATATAGCAGTACACATATATCTACTCACTTTTTTATTCAGGCAAACTTCACTGAATTTCTATCTGGCTCACTAAATGAATTTATATTGAGGGCTGAGCTTCTACTTTTTTTAAATAGCAAATATATAGATGTGAACTGGAAGATTCTAGCTTAAAACACTGGTTAAAATGTTAACATATAATACATATTTTAAATAACTATTTTTAGAATATACCTTAATATGTTACTCTGTGACTATAGATGAGATAGTAATTATAATAAGTATCAGAGGGGTAGCCGTGTTAGTCTGAATCTGCAAAAGTGGCGAGGAGTATAGTTAGTCTATAAGGTGCCACAGGACTCCTCGCCGCCAATTATAATAAAAATGTGTGACTGATTTATATTCCCAGTCATATAATTAGTTCTAGAGGAGACATTGCTGAATCATTTTGGTGTTTTTTTTTTCCCACACAAAAAACTAAAGCTTGTTATCTTGTTTTCATACCATTATTAATATTTACATTTTACTAGTAATTTATCTAAAAAATTATAATGGAGTAATTCACGCTTTACTGTTTTGCTTTCTTTATTTCACATAGAATGGCAATCGTCCTCTTCTTCTCAGCCAAGATTTGATTCACTGCTTTCACAAAATAAGTAGTTTCCCATGAATTTCCAGTTGTTATAATAGGATTTAATGTTCTGATCATCCTGCAAGGTTCTGAGCATCTCTGAAGGTGTTGAAGCACCTTCAAATCCCATTGACTTTCATGGGTGTGGAGTGCACCAGATTCCTTTGCAGCTTCACCGGGTCAGGCCCTAAATCCATGCATAGTATGAAAGCGTACAAAATAAATCCATTACAGTCAACTCTCTCCCCATCCTTGTTTTTAAAGTCCCGAAGAATAGATTGTCTTTGTCAGTATGCACTTTTAAGTCAACAAATTAAGGGTTTTGTTGTCTGAGGTAGGAAATTTGCTCAAGAACTGAAATTCTTTTCTTGCCAATACCCAGCATGCATCCTTCTCATATGTACCAACAAGCTGTTGGCTTGAGTGCCATGACTAACCATCAGTGCAAATTATCAAGATTCTGCTGTGCTTCAATCTCATTATTACTGTGGAGATTTGTGATAGTAATGTTTTCTTAGAATTAAATAGAAATGTTGCAAATGATTGAAAATGCAATTTTCTGTCAAACTTTTTTGACAGATTTTATTTGTGTGTGTGTGTGTGTGTGTGTGTGGTAATTGTGACATTAAGTTGTCCTTTAGATATCAGGTAAATCACAAATTCCTCATCTCAGATAAAGCTATTACATCAGAAGTTAAACATGCAGAAAATATTAGAGAATATAGATATTGCATTAATTTCTTTTTAAAACACACTTTCTCTTGTTTTCCTTTAGGAGACTTAGTGTAGACAGAGAGAGAGAATGTAGTCAAAAGTATGAAATCAACAAAGGGGCATTCTCCTCCAGCAACCTCAGAATGTGAATGGTAGATTGAAGAAAATACATACTCAGGATAGGTCTACTCCAGGAGTGGGCAAGATATCTCTCACTGGCCAGATTCGGCTCTCCAAGCCACTGGATCCGGCCTGCAGACACCCCTCCTGGGACCCTCAGGAACGCAGCAGCTGCTGTTTTAAATGCAGGGTTGCTCAGTGTGACTCTCTACTCCAGAGGGATCTCCCCGACCCAATCCTCAGCTCCTATTGGCCAGAAATAGCCAGCCAATGGGAGCTGAGAGATTGGCCTGGGGATGGGGGCGGCGCGAGCCTCTCCTCCCTCCCTGGGGTTGAGAGCCACTTGGAGG